TGGATTGTATGGTACTTCTATTTCTAGCTTTTTAAGGAAGCGCCAAATCGATTTCCAAAGTGGTTGTACCATTTTACATTCTCACCAACAGTGTAGAAGTTGAACTTTTTCTCCTAAAGATGATGACTTAAAAAAAATAAACCTGTTGCCAATGAGTCAATCCCTAACAAAGTGGAAAAGAACAAGAATCAGTGTCCTATTTTACCCTTGGCTAACAAATTCAAGGCTATTTTTGCCTGTGAGGAAAATCATTTATGTCTAAATTTCCGCCTTTCTGCCTGTAATTATGACCTGACTTGGAAGATTTAGGAGGGACTGATTTTTTTCGCTACCAGTACATTAGGTTGCGAAGCTCAGTTTCAGACACAGCGCCCCCAATATTTAGCTAATGGGAAGACAGCAGAGATGAGTCCTGGGAATAGTAATAAATTGAGTCAGGAGATATCTGAGTTTGCCAGTTGTCCTGAGCAAGTCCTTTCATTTCTTTGGATCTGAGTCTCCCCATCTGTAAAATAAAGGGACTGAAGTAGGTAATCTTTTTAATTATTATTATTATTGTGGTAAATAGATATGTAACAAATTATTTGACGTTTCATCATATTGTTCAGCTATCACCCTTATCTGTTCCCAAATTAAATAGTCACCCTTAACAGAAGCTCAGTGTCCCCTAAGCACTGTAAGGTAGGTAACCTTTAACGTTACTTCTAAAAGTTAAGTTCTGTGTTAGTGAAATACAACATTGTAGTTAAGTGCCTGGCTTCGGCATCAGATATAGACCTGTGTTTGAGTCCATGTTTTCTATCTACTATAAGATCTATAATCTTAGAAAGTTTTGTAAGTTCTCCAAATCTTAGTTTCCCCTTATAAAAACAGAAATAATGACATAGGCACTTTATATGGATTTTGTGAGAATTAAATAAGATAGTGTATAGAAAATATTTAGCACAGTACCTGGTTTGTAATAAGGACAACCTTAACTTTGGTTGTTGTTGAGTCAATTCCAACTCATACTGACCTCATGTGACAGAGTAGAACTGCACTATAGGGTTCTCTTGGCTGTAATCTTTATGGAAGCAGATTGCCAAGTCTTTCTCCCTCGGAGCCGTTGAGTGGGTTCCAACTTCCAACATTTTGGTCAGCGGCTGAGCACTTAACCATTTGTGCCACCAGGGCTGTTTTGGCAGATACTATTATAGACTCGGAGCCCTGGTGGCGAAGTGGTAAAGAGTTAGGCTGCTAACCAAAAGGTTGACAGTTTGAATCCTCCAGCTGCTCCTTGGAAACCCTACGGGGCAGTTCTACTCTGTCCTATAGGGTTGCTAAGAGTCACGTTAAGAGTTCAGCTGCTAACCAAAATGTCGGCAGTTCAAATCAACCAGGCGCTCCTTGGAAACCCGATAGGGCGGTTCTACTCTTGTCCTTTAGGGTCACTATGGGTCAGAATCTACTCAACAGCAATGGGTTATGGTTACAGTTTTTGAGAGTCAGAATTGACTCAACGGTAACAGGTTTGGTTTGATTTTTGGTATTATAGATTCAGGTTGTATTCCCCAACAGTGTCATCATCAGAATAGAATTGGGGACAGCAGAAGAGAATAGGGAATAACTCCACCAGCTTTCCTGAATTAGGTCAGATGATAAAATTCGACTTCTGAAAGCATCTCATGCTCTGACCATGTGTTATTGTGGGGCTTGTAAGAACACACAGCAGGCTAAGACTTTAGAAGCTGCCTTAACGGAGATGTGACATACATGCCTACAATTCAAGAGTAGAAGGCAGTGAGGACAAGCTGTTAAATGTCGGTTCTGGGTTTTATAGCTTACATGGCATTTTCATATACAGTATCTCCTTCACGTTAATTACCCTGTGAGTTTGGTAGGACTGAGAAAAATGTTAAGTGACTTGTCCAGGATCATACAGCTGAAGTGTCAGAACCAGGACTCAGTCTCACTCTTCAGCTGTGAAACTTAGTACTGCTTCATGCTGTAACAAATCCACCGTAATATCGCTATTGTGGTACCAAACGGAAATGCTTTAGACTGTAAAGAAGGACAGGATCAATATTGGTGTTACTGGCATATACAGATTTCACAGAAACTGTTTAGGTAAAGAGATGCATGAGATGTAAGGAATAAGTTTAAAAAGGTATTCCTTTATCTCACTGATGGACAAGGATTTGAAAACATAATCGCTCCAGTCAACATTTAAAAGCAGAAAGTGCACAGTTTTGTAGGATGTGTACATCACTGTTATGTATCAATTATTAATTTAAAATCTCTCGTGCTCTCTTCTTTTGTAATTTCAGCAATTGGACCTTCATTCCTGCCCCAAGCCGATTGTTTTCATCATTCATTCCTTCCTGTCAGCTAAGATTACAAGACTGGGCTTGGTGGCTTGAACAGAGGGCGACTTGACTTTGCCAAAACGAGGCTAGGATGCCACCACCAAGTGCGCCGTTTGTAGTGAGCAGTGCACCCGATGAAGCATGTCACAGTCAGCTTTAAGTCTCAGGAGTTGTGTGTAACTGTCTCAGATGCCTTTGTCCTTTCCAGCAACTACAGAGGGTACCCTAAGGAACTGCCAAAAGGAACATCAGAATAAAACTGTCTTTTTAGAATAATAAATGGTTAAAGGGATGAGAGTGATTGGAAATAGCATAGCTTTTAAATGACAACCAAGGACATGACCATTAGAACAGCATGCACAGATCTTAATCATACCAGTTTCTAGGCAACTGGTTCACCCAGGTAAGCAAGGGCTGAATAGATGAGAAATGGACGTTTCACGTCTCTCTCCCCCCAGGTAACAATGATCCCTTGTTTTACTGTGATTTCTTTCCTATTCTAACTCAGCATTTCCCTGGTAGGGAGAGAAGAGCACTTCAAATGGCAACCCACCTTTTATTTAAGTATGAAGCAGCTTTTCTTTTTCTTCTTCTTCTTTTTTTTTTTAATGAATTATCTTTCAAAGATATAGAATGATTGGGAAGTGTTCTTATTAGCATATGCTGAGCAGGAATTAAATAAAGCATCAGATACTAATCTGAGTGGTAAACTGGTAGAATCTGAGCCAAAGTAGACTGCTTAAATTGCAAAGCTCTGCTCAAGAGTTGTGTGCATGGAAGATGATTAATTGTGGGATTACACTCACACCAAGGTCCGCTGTCTTATGGCCAAGACTGATAGCTTTATTTATAGAAAGCAAATTATGGGTATTTTTTTAAAAGATTATCATCTGATATCTATGTATAAATACATAAAACAACTCACATGGTTGGGGTTAACTAATTATCCCCGTCTCGTGGTTTTCAGTGGAAGTACTGAACAATTTATTGACCCTTGTTTTTGCCTGTGCTTATAGTGCATGCATTTTCAAACAGGTAATAATGCAGCCTCATTTAATTCTGGGTGATTCTGGGTTTTTCCATATATACCCAGTACTATAAACAAATCTATTGATAGCATCCGAAGTTCTTTCAGAATTCCAGGGAAATAATATAATGACCTGATATTTTTCTACAAGAGTATTTTCAGACAGCACATAGAGCATTATTGATTTAATGTTTTTGCTTTTGTCTTTCACAACGAATTCAGTCAAAATAACACCTATTATTTAGTTTTGGAATCACTTTTCTCAAAGCTTGAAAATTAGCTCTGGAATTTCTGTAAACATTTGTATCACTTCTTTCCCCTGTCATTGACATAGACAGATGTTCTGGGTTAGACCTGTGTGTTTTTTCAGAATCATATTTTAGCAAAAACCTATGCAAAGAGCTTTAAAAAGTGGTTTGAAAGGATCGTGATTTTGGTCACTCAGATGTATGTGTTTATTGAGTTGCAGAGTTTTATTTTAGATGAGCGTTTCTCCAAAGTATGTATCATGTAACACTAGTTCCAAGGGGGACTGGTTGAGTGGTGTTTATTTTTTTTTTTTGGAGGGGGGAGAATAAGGTGTTTGGTAATCAAAAATGTTTGTTCAATGCTCCAATAAAACATGTTAAACAGATTTCATGATTGCAGACCCCCTCAGAGACTTTAATCTACATTGTGATTCTTCAAGGGGGCATCTGGTATGCCATTCCTCACACTTACTTACACAACTACTTTCAAATGGAGCATCTTGAGAAGCTAGTATTTTATTACAAAAAACAACAACTTTGGAAAACGCAGCTTCAGGACATTGATTTTTTTTTTTGTCTCCTATTTTAAAATGCTGAAGAATGAAGTCCCAGCCTGAATATTGTAGGAGAGCTTTGATGCATTTGTAAATTAGATTGCACTCTTTCATTATATATTTTCAAAATCACTGGAATGTTGTTATACAAGATTATTATACTTGTGTGTATTGTAAATAACATATTAAAATACATATATTAATGCCAATAGTTTAATTCAAATATATGTAATCTAAGGTGCTCAGTACTACATGCAGTATGAGTTAATTACTCATAATTAAGTTGCAAAGATCCTATTATATATTTATAGACAAAATGATCACAATTACAAATATTATTTCTTCATCACTTAACCAGTTTTGGACTGATAAATGTCTGGGTGGGGGTCAACAGAAACTACATTCTCTGCATTTATAAATTTAATTTAAAATATTTAAATGCATAATAGTTATCAATAATGTATTACAAACATATAAACTACTGGACCCTGACAATACAGAAAAATGTATTTGAATAAAATGAATGAATTTTCTGAAGTAAACTAAAATGTGTTATTAGCAAGAAATAGAAAATTTTACTAAGAGAATTGTGTATACGCATCGTTTTTTTTTCTTCCACGTAGAAGTGTCTCATAACAGAGTGGCTATGATGAATCAATTTCAAATACTCATTATCTTCTCATTTTGAAGTCAAGTTATGATCACTTTACACTGTAGGTTTTAATCTTGCCTTTATGCATGTTAGTGTGAATGACACAAACTCCTAAGTTTAGACCACACATGGGTGCATTCAATGAATCAGGGTGGGTCATTGGGGGAATTTGTTTTTGTCCAATTCGCTCTGTGCCCAATCCATTTCCTGTTTGAACTGATAACTTATTAAATTCACGTTTATCTTTAAATGAAAACCAATACAAATGAATGATGTTTTAATCTGTCTTTTGTGGGAAGCTTTCCATTTGTCAGTAGATGTGATTAGATGGGCCCTCGGGTGTGATGAAGTCTGGATATAAAGAAGACCAAGAGGATTATAGGTATCAACTTTTCTGACTTGAACTAAGTGAGAGAAACAAAACCATAAATAAACCTGCTGAAAAGTATCTGAGGAGAGACATTTAATTAATCCTGTCAATTTATGGAATTAAAAGGCCACAAGCATGTCCCTTTGTCCAAAATGTTGTTGACCCTCCTGGGTTGAAAGTCAGAAAGAATGGTCTTAATGGTCAGAAAGATTCTCCTAAAATAACAGGCAGGGCCTTTCTGGCCCTTGTTACAAATATTACATATTCCATCCTGAGGAGACTGGAGTGGGCTGGGATGAGGGCATAATTTTTTAGTGTACCCTGATTTTTCAAAAATGTGCCTATGAATATCACATAAAATTTATATATGAATTAAATAAATATTCACCTCTGAGTTCTAATGGAGTTTATGTTACATTACAAAACTATAATATGATAGATTAGTTGGTGGCTTCATGATAGTTAGAGGGCTGTGAAAAAAAAAACCCAACCTGTTGCTGTCGAGTTGATTCCGACACATAGCAACCCTGTAAGACAGAGTAGAACTGCACCATAGGGCTTCCAAAGAGCGGCTGGTAGATTCAAACTGCCAACCTTTTGGTTAGCAGCCATAGGTCTTAACTGCTGCACCATGAGGGCTCCTGGCAACATCCTGCTGCTCTCTTTCTGATTAGGACTAGCCTTAAAAAAAAAAATGCCCTTGAGTCACTGCTGACTCATGGCAACCCCACATGTGTCAGGGTAGAAATGTGCTCCATTGGGTTTTCAATGCCTGATTTTTTGGACATAGATTGCCAGACCTTTCTTCTGAGTGCCTCTTGGAGAACAAGAATCTCCAACCTTTTGGTTAGCAGCCAAGCATGTTAACCATTTGCACCACCCAGGGACTACAAGACTGGCCTTAGAAGGTGCAAGGGTAAAGAGGATGCAACTAGCAATCTTTTTGTGTGCACGTATTGTTTTTCCCACTATTATCTTCCTTTTCCTTACTGGGTGCTTCTCAGTCTTTTTTTTTTTCTCAGTAGCTCTTTTTTGTTGTTGTTTTAATTTTATTGTGCTTTAGGTGAAAGTTTACAGCGCAAATTAGTTTCTCATTCAAAAATTTATACACAAATTGCTTTGTGACATTGGTTGCAATCCCCACAATGTGTCAGTGCTATCCCCCATTCCACCCCAGGATTCCCATGTCCATTCATCCAGTTTTCCTGTCCCTTCCTGCCTTCTCGTTTTTTGCTTTTGGGCAGATGTTGCCCATTTGGTCTCATATACTTGATTGCACTAAGAAGCCCATTCCTCACCTGTGACATTATTTGTTTTATAGGCCTGGGACCAACAGATGTATCGTAGATGGCCAATTGCAAGCTTTTAAGACCCCAGATGCTACTCACCAAAAGTAGGATGTAGAACATTTTCTTTATGAACTATGTTCTGCCAATTGACCTAGATGTCCCCCCAGACAATGGTCCCCAGCCCTCCGCCCCAATAACTCAAGGTGTTTGGATGTGTCTAGGAAGCTTCTATGACTTTGCCTTGGTCAAGTTGTGTTGACTTCTCCTATATTGTGTGTTGTCATTTCCTTCACCAAAGTTAACACTTGTTTACTATCTAGTAAGCGATTTCCCTTCCTCACCCTCCCCTCCCTTGTAACTATCAAAGGTTGTTTTTTTCTGTGTAAACCTTTTCTTGAGTTTTTATAATAGTGGTCTTATGCAATATTTGTCCTTTTGTGATTGACTTATCACTCAGCATAATGTCCTCCAGATTCATCCATATTGTGAGATGTTTTGTGGATTCATCATTGTTCTTTATTGTTACATAGTATTCCATTGTGTGTGTGTACCATACTTTGTTTATCCATTCATTTGCTGATAGGCTGTTAGGTTGTTTCCATCTTTTTGCTATTGTGAATAGTGCTGCAATGAACATGGGTGTGCATGTGTATATTTGCGTGATGGCTCTTATTTCTCTAGGATATATTCCTAGGAGTGGGATTGCTGGATTGCGTAGTATTTCTATTTCTAGCTTTTTAAGGAGATACCATATTGTTTTCCATAGTGGTTATACCATTTTACATTCCCACCAGCAATTCATAAGAGTTGCAGTCTCCCCGAAACCTCTCCAACATTTGTTATTTTCTGTTTTTTTTTTGTTTAGTGCCAGTTATGTCAGGGTGAGATGGTATCTCACTGTAGTTTTGATTTTCATTTCTCTAATGGCTAATGATTGTGAGCATTTCCTCATGTATCTGTTAGCTGCCTGAATGTCTTCTTTGGTGAAGTGTTTGTTCGTACCCTTTGCCCATTTTTTTTATTGGATTATTTGTCTTTTTTGTTGTTGAGGCCTTGAAGCATTTTGTAGATTTTAGAGATTAGACTCTTGTTGGATGCGCTGTACACAAGATTTTTTTCCCAGTCTGTAGGTTCTGTTTTCACTCTTTTGGTAAAGTCTTTTGATGAGCGTAATTGTTTAATTTTTAGGTGCTCCCATTTATCTAGTTTATCTTCTGGTGTTTGTGCATTATTAGTTATGGTTTGTATTCTTTTATGCCATGTATTAGGGCCCCTAGTGCTGTCCTTATTTTTTCTTCCATGATCTTTATTGGTTTAGGTTTTATATTTAGATCCATATTGAGTTAGTTTTTGTGTGTGGTGTGAGGTATGGGTCCTGTTTCTTTTTTTTACATACGGACATCCAGTTATGCCAGCACCATTTGTTAAAAAGACTGTCTTTTCCCCATTTAATGGACTTTGGTCCTTTGTCAAAGATTAGCGACCGTAAGTGAATGAATTTATGTCTTGGTTTTCCATTCTGTTCCACTGGTCTATGTGCCTGTTTTTGTACCTGTACCAGGCTGTTTTGACTACCATGGCTGTATAGTAGATTCTAAGATCAGGTAGTGTGAGGCCTCCTACTTTGTTCTTTTTCTTCAGTAATACTTTGCTAATCTGGGGCCCCTTTCCTTTCCATATAAAGTTGGTGATTAGTTTTTCCATCTCGTTAAAGAATGCTATTGGTATTTTGATCAGAATTGTATTATATCTGTAGATCGCTTTGGGTAGAATTGACATTTTCACAATGTTGAGTTTTCCTGTCCATGAACATAGTATGTCTTTCCGTTTATGCAGGTCTCTTTTGGTTTCTTGCAGTAGTGCACTTATTTTTTTTCTGAATTCATTTAAAATATACAAGGTTTATCCCATTGAAGCAAATTCTGACAGACTCTAACAAAAATATTAGTATTGTTGTTCCAAATTTATTAAATTGGATATAGCATCAGGATGAGTCTTCACCTAGGGCTAAACGCTTTCATTTTTAACTAAGTTTTCATGGGATTCTTGACCTGAACACCAAGCTCCAAATACTCAAATTCTCTGTTGTACTAGAACTTTGTTTGTATATAAGTTGCTTGTAATACATATAACATGGGCTAGGGTTTAGAAGTCTTTTTACTATTAGAAACTTTAGTAATATCAAGATTTGGTTTAGAACTTCAGCAATATTGAGATTAGATTTAGAATTTCAGGTTTAAAGAGACCTTGGATATCATCAAGCACCTTGTCCAAAATTCAGTCATTTGTGTCCTTGTGATTTTTGCCATATCCACAACCTATCTGTATGATTATTTATTAATAATTTTAGCAATACTATCTTAGCATTTTAGAGTATATGATTTGTTGGTAATATAGCAAAATAGTATATATACATATAAAAATGAATATGTACCATTAAAATTTAAAATAATGTTTGTACTACCTAAAGTAATCCCACATGCCCTATGATCTAGGACTACATTTTGGGAAACATTGTATAATATTCCACTAAACTCAGGCATCTATTCCTGAATATCCTTGGCAAGTGTTCACCCCACCTAAAATTGAAAATTTCCACGTATGAGCCTGGATCCTGGTTCCTTATCTTCCCAGGCAGCACAGGCCATTGTTGGATGGCTAGAGTTGTTTGAAAGTTCCTACATACTCAGAGCCAAAACTTGTGCATGCCCAACTTCCAGTCATCACTGTAACTCGACCTTAGAAGACACTGGATGTCTAATACCTCTTTCATATGATAATCTCCAGATATTTAAAAATCTTCTCTGATACCCTTTCCCCTTCTCAAGTTTCCTATTCCAGATCATTATCTCTTTCTAGACTAGTTTCCTTGAATATCACTTTTGATAAAATTGGCTTGAGATCCTTTCAGACCATTGTCCTGGTTGCCCGAGACAGCTTGGGTCTATTCATGCTGACCGAGGATAATAATTATTAGTGTTCTCTTACTCTCAGAACTGCCCTGGCCAGTATGGTCACCCCACTTACAAAGTTCAATCTTAGCATTTTAAATAAAGGGCTAGAGGAAGTAGGATGGGGCTTCTG